TACCAGTTTTGGATGGCTTAAAAACGACATTTTAGACAATCCAAAATTGGTATAATATAATTTTGAGCTGTTCCCTCAATCCACCAAATCGACGGATTTTGATCGTTTCTCTTATTCTTTTCAAATTTTTACTCTTTATAAAATAAAGAATGTGTTGTTGAAAGTGAGTAGAAGAAAGAAAAATAACGTGGTTCAAACAGGGACATAGTGTAATTTTGAAGGAGTGTTGAAAAAATAGGTGCTTGTTAGTTTTTTTTTAATACCAGTTTTCGATGGCTTAAAAACGACATTTTAGACGATCCAAAATTGGTATAATATAATTTTGAGCGGTTCTCTCAATTCACCAAATTGACGAATTTTGATCGTTTCTCTTATTCATTTCTAATTTTACTTTTTATAAAATAATTATTTACGACTACTATATTTTCTTCAAAAGCAAATTGTAAATGACGATATATTAACTAAAAATTTATTTATGATTTAAACATATTATATTATAATTGAAAAAAATACTTATAAGTAAAATATTACTTGTAAGATAAGAAAAAATATATTATAATTAAAAATTACTTAAAAGTAAAAATCACTTTTATTAAAAAAAATTTATAAAATAAAAATATTATTAATAAGACAAAATTCACTTATAAAATACAAAAAAAGTTACTTATAAGTAAAAAATTCACTTAAAGTTATTTTAAAGTATAAAATTAACTTATAATTGTAAAATATATTTATAAGTAAAAAATTATAAACTTAAAATTTTAATTAATTTTTGAAATTAAATATTAAGTTATATATATAAAAAAAAAATTTATAAGTAAAACATCACTTCTAAGTAAAAAAATTCATATAAAAGAAAATTGTACTAAATGATATATATCTAATTTTATTCTTTTAAACAGCTTTCAGATTTGGTGAATAATAAACTCTCAAACATAGGTTAGAGAGTCTTAAAAATTGCTACTAAAACCATTCAAAATTGATTGGTTCATAAACGCTCAAAATCCTTACTTTAAATAAAGCTCATAACTGGTTCGGCGATACTTCCAAGCATAGACCCTTAGCCGTCGAATTCGTTTCTTTCAACAGGAGCCCAAGCGATCCTTTAATTTGATTCCAAATGCAAGTCCAAACTAAGGACAATTTAATTTCAATGTCCGTTTAATGTAATATTTCTCTCCAAGGTTTCATCTCTTTTCAAATAATGCAATTTAGTCCTTGAGTTCATCAATTGTGGTAACAAATGTCCTCTCAAATTCTAACTCGTGGAATTTGATCCCAAAATTATAACTTTTATTCAATTTTGTCATCTTTCTTTTCCAAACATTTAGAAACGGGTCAAACACTGAAATAAACTAAAACTAACTCAAGTGAAGTAAAATAACAATTAGACGACATAAAAACTTAATAATTTAGTTCGAATAAGTGCACAAAACGCACTTACCAAACTTACAACTAAAAACCTGCACTTTGGCTCTCTTCTTTCATTCATTAGATTTACTTGCTGGCATGGAGAGTTGCGGTTATGATGATAATTGATTACTCTACGATTTCTGCTTGCTTTTTGCAGATTGTAATCATGTCCCTGATGGGATTCTCTCTTGTAATGCGTGGGCTCGAAGAAAAGAATCGTCACCTGATCAAATGAATTTTGTCGATATTGCTAACAATCAATTTACTAGTCTATCTGTCGGTCCGATGTGGTATAAGTTTGCCATGATGTCTAAAGGAACTTGATGTTTTGAGACGTGACTTCTGAATTTTATTCAATCTATTTAGAAATTGAAATGTCTCCTGAATTTGCTATGATATCGAATGATCATAAGTGTTCTGAATGTAGAAGAAATCACTTAGCTGAATATAGAACATTATTCATCTACTAGATATTCAAAAGCATTAGGGGCATGTTTAGATGTACAACTACAATCGGAAATTGGGATTTTTAGCTGTATTTGTTTAAGAATTAATCTAATTGTACGATGAGTTTGCACAGGTAGTTTGACCAGTAGTGACGTGTAAAGATTTTTATCGTTGATTTCAAAAACAATTTTTAGAATGTATGTCAATTCCCTCATTGTCAAATTACTTTTTCTCACTTGAATACGGAATCAAATCCACCAAACAAACTACTACAAGAACAATGCAGCCTGTCTTCTCGACCCAAACGTTTTACATTTGCATTATCATTATCATTATCTATCAACTAAACTTAAAAATAAATTCTAAAAAGAACTTGAAATATGAATTCCATAGGGTAGATTGAATTCTTGTTCAATCAAAACCTATAAATTTTATCAGCCTTGATTACAGGGTTAGCCTTGGCAATCTCTTCTCTTCCTTGTGCCTTGAAGTCAAAGGTACAATCATGTTTTTCCGGGTACCTGTGCGTTCCACAGAAGAAACTATCGCACTTACACTTGAATCCCGTCAAACCCAACTTTTTGTTACAACTCAAACACCTATTACTAACCACCTTCTTCTCCACCACTGCCGCCGCCACCTCCTCCATTACAACCTTCTCTTCCACCACAGAAGATGATGGACATACAGTACCGACAATCTTTTCCATGGCAATCTTGGCTGAGGCGGCTTGTTCGTTCTCGATCCGTAAATATGAGTAACACTTTGAGCAAAGACCCATCGTCGCCGCTGTACCGAAGAAGCCGCAGCCGCTGGCGCAGAGAACCGGCTCCGATGGCTGAAAACTGGTTCCCTCGTTGATCTTGTTTCCTTCAGAAGATCCCATATCTCGTTTTGTTGAATCGAATATTGAGAACAGATCGAATCTTTTTAACGGAAATATGTGAATCGAGTAACGAATTCTTCAAGATCGATGAAAGCGAAGACAGTAATTGCCAAAGGCGTGCGAAGTTAAAAGTTCTTATATAGACAACGGCATTGATTAAAATGACTATGTACCCCGCAATTAGAGTTGCTTTAGAAGGGTATTTGTGGGATTTGAAATTGGAACCGACTTCCTTGACTGGGTTTCTTGGTCCAGGAAAGGAAATAAAGTTGTCATTGAATTTTGAATTAGTATTTCCTTTCTGGGTGGTAAAAGACAAAATTGTCCAAGATTAATCAGTAGAGAGATTTCAGGTTCATGGAGGAGAACGAGGACAGAATCGTCTTTCTAACCAAACAGAAAGTCCTAGGTGAAAGCGCCTTCTAGAACATTCGAAAGATTCCAAAATAGATGGCGTTTTGAAAATATTTTATATGACAACATTCTAGTTTTGAAAATATTCTAAAAACAAAAAAAAAAAATAGAAAAGGAAATATTAAAACGGCAGCAAGCGCATTTGACTCGTAAAAGGAAGAGTTATCACCTCCTTCTAAAACTGCCAGCATTCTAGTTTCGGTCGTATAGCGAGAATCACCAAAACTTTGACAGTTAGTAACTCCTTTATTTAGAGAATCGATAAATATTAAAAAATAAGACATGAAAAATAATACGAATAGAGAAAGTCATATAATGAATTGAAAGAATATTGCATCTTTCATTAATATCTTACAATCTTTATATATAAATTATAACCAAGTTACAAATAATTATAAGAAAAAAGTAAATTATACTTGCAACATTTGTAATTTATGGATTAGGGATGGCAACGGGGTGGGACGGCTTCCCTTTCCCCGCCCCATTACCCATACAAGATTTAATTTGAAGATTACAAGATAGCGGACAAACATCACATAATGCAATATATCATGTTGTAGATCTTCATTCTTCAAGTGCTGTCATTATCTAGAGTGTCCATATCAGGCTCCTTAAAAATTGATGACTGTGATTATTATTTAGACAAATAATGCATTTAACTATTTGTATACAAGTTCATTTAAAGAAAAATCAATTTACNAATCAAAGGAATTTGTATTTCTTGTACCATGAATGTCAGCCCATAACCAATCTCTAGCACACATCAGAGCCTCCAAAGTATTTGGATGAAGCCTATTTCTGTGTGGACCAACAAATCTACAACTAGTATTGAATGCAGACTCTGATGCCACTGTGGATACTGGAATAGCTAAAATATCTCTTGCAACTTTTTGCAAAGTATGATATTTTGTTGAATTTACATTCCACCATACTAATATGTCAAAATCATTAGATTAAAAAATAAGCATAAATTGCAGAGAGAGGCAGGCTGCAAATGCAAGTCGACTGAAAATCTGAGATGTGTATGAAAAATATTTGAATAAGAAAAAAAGGCTATCAACAAACAAATGCATTTGAATAAGAAAAATATTTGCAAATAACTTAATCAAATGAAAATGAAATTGGCAATACCATCTGCACTCCTGGTTATGAAAAAATTAGCAGCTGAAACTGCAACTTGTCTTACCAAATTACGCATATGGCCGCTAGAGACTACGGACGGCAGCTAGAGACGGAATGCACAATTATTTTTTTTCGGAAATAGAAAATGATCTAATTTGATTACCCTCGCTCGCCACCTCACCTCGTGTGAAATTGGATGAAATTGGGATATGGTAATGGGATTAGGGATTCTGGCTATTAGGACATGGGTCTGGGTTCTCTGGGGAATGAGAATCGGGGTCTGGGTCTGGGCCAGCCCATTACATGTGACAAACTGAAAAATTAATTTGTAAAAATTAAAACTAAATTAAACAAGGCGGGGGTGGGGTGGGGACCTCGTTATCCGACCCCGCCCCTGGTTCAAGTTCCTCGCCCCAAAACTCGATTAAGCGGGGAATTCATGCCCTGTTCGGGGTGGGACCTCGTGGGTATCGAGTTTAATGGGGTTTTTTGCCATTCCTATTATGGATTTCAATACACGGGAGGTGTGGACATCTATAACACAGAATTTGAAAAAAAAAATCGGTGTTTTACCCTCATCAATGATTTTGAAGAGCAGCTTAGACAATAAAGGGCTGTTCTCATTGCCCTTTTTATTCCGTTTTCTATTTTCGATTTTTCAAAATAGTGAAAATATGTTTACTTACCTATTTTCAAAAACGAGTTTAAAATTTATAAAGAAAATCGAAAATGTCAAAAATGTTGTTTTGAGTGTTTTCGACGATTATGTCTGACCCAAAACCACTGCCACAGTCACAATAGCAAAATAAGCAGACGACGTTGTGACCGAAAATCTCTGCCACCACCACAACCACAACAGCCAAAAAAACCAGCGATGCCGCATTCAACCACCACATACCATGCATCCAACCATCGCACGCCACCACCATATCCAAATCAACCATCACATAAAAAAATAAACAAAAGAGACGGAGAAGCCGTCGATTGCAGGGAGGGTCGCTGGTTGCTCGTCGCTATAGATCCGTAGTGGTCTTTGGCGACAGTGGCCTTGCGAGGGAGACAATAGAAAGAGCGACGACAGAGAGGAGGGGCAGAAGAGAGAGAGAGAGAGAGAAAGAGAGAGAGACGAGAGGGGAAGAATAGAACATGTTTTCCAATTTTTTATTTTTGAAAATAATTTTTCAAAATGATAAAAAGAACACATTTTCAACAATCTCAAAATGAACACTAAAGCACAAAATCTAAAATGAATTCAAAACTCAAAATTGAAATAGGAAGAGAACAATCCTTAGACAATTTTGCTCTAATCAAAGCTGACATCAAGGATTCAAGGTAAAGGAAAGAAGCAATTGCCAATGCTAACCCTGTAATCAAAGATGATAAACCTCATATGTTTTCTAATTGACTAAAAAAGAACTGAATTGACCATGTTTAATTTTGGGAATTGGATTTCATATTTTTATCTTAATTAAGAATAACAACAACAACAACAATAATATGTGTTGACCTGTTTTGTACCGTTGAAGTGTACAACAGATATCGGGCTCACTCGTGTTCACGCAAGATAAATCCGACACGTGTAAACAGATTATTAGTCAATAATATCTCCGATTTGAACATAGGAGAATTTAAATAACACAAGACAAATATATTTGGGCATCAACGAGATATATAAGCGAAGTTGAATGATAAGGAACGATCAACAAAAATCGAACTAAAAACTAGAACCAAACATCTAACTTTCTCAATCAAAAATTTTATTCAAGAGGAGAGAATATATATGAGCGAAGTTGAATGATAAGGAACGATCAACAAAAATCGAACTAAAAACCAGAATCAAACATCTAATTTTCTTAATCCAAAATTGTATTCAAGACGAGAGGATATATAGCTTACAGTAGATGTATAATGACACAAATGAATTGATTTATAGTGTTACATGTGAAATGGTGACCATTGGATGAGAGGACATGTAACCTCATCTCCTTAATCGAAGCATCTTATATATTAATTTCGACCCAATTAGTCCGTGAAGCATTAAATGCTCCCAAAAAAGGACAAACATCATATAACTTAGATTAACAAGACTTCGACATATTATTTATTACAAGAGTCAAATCAATCATTCCAACTAGATATCATGAATTCAAGATCTTCAAATGTGAGTCGTCACTCGTCATTGTAGAGTTTCAAATTTAACTTCGTGAGCCTCATCACTTCAACAGAGGGGCTTCGGTGGGTCCATTTCTTGGAAGGGCTTCAGTGGGTAAGTACTTAGGATTTAGTGGATTTTTGTAGGTCTTATGCACTCCATGTGGGATGTCATGTGGTTTCGGCTGAAGGACTTCGATGGATATGCAATAAAGTATCATCATATTCTTATTTCTAGTTTGATGTTATTAGTTCAATTTAATCTAAATGAAGCGTAGAGGAGGTGAATATGCAAACTTTCATGGTTACAAATTAATTAAATCGATCAAATAAAACTAATCAAAGATGTCAATGGTCTAGTATGCCAGTCCACACGCGAATTCACACATGATGCATGGTGCTTTGCATAATTTTTGTTCCCAATTTCAAGTATCTACCTACTCTTTAACCTATTTGGTAAGGTTCTTTTCAGATTTTCGAACTACCTACTCCGGCCTGCAATTAGCTTATGAAATCCTTGAGAGAAATAAGAAGATAGGCTACTTCAGTTTCACACACATTTTTCATTTTTGTTCGACTTTAGGCACTCTGTCTATTTTCGTATGCTAAATGAATGGAAATGTTCACGTGTTGGTGTTTGGGGTGGGGTGGGATGGCATGGCGTGGCAGTTCAGGGAGTTGGAGAATAAGATAAAATCTTTTCTTTTGACACTAGTGTGGTTAACGTGCATTACACGTTAATTGTTTAATGTTGAAAATAAATATATGTAAATTTTAGAGAGATTTATTTGTAAACATAAAAGATATTCATCGGGTAAAAAAAACTCTCCGTGTGTCACGGAGAGATCGTGTCTCTTGCAGACTTCTTCTTTAAAGAAAAATTATTATTTTATCTACCTCCAGCTAATGTTCCAGTTGTATCATTTCCCCCAAGCTAATCTTCTGCCCCCAATGAGCAGGAACAAAACTTCC